TTAAACCGCACCTCTACTACTGCTAATACTAAGAGCCAGCAGGCCTATTAAATACCGTCCAATTCGTCCAATATAAACCAGCACTCGGTTTCTAAAGACCGCAAGTAAATATAAGCTTTTTATGGTACGTAGAAGATCTCGGGTCTTTACCAAGCCTTGGTATAAAGTGGTGGATCTTCCAGGTCTAAAACCGTTCAGTCCCTTGTTGCTGAGCTTACATTAGCTTAGGATTTCTTTGACATTCTATTACTCGAAAATTGCTAGTCTAAAATCGTTATTGTTAGCTGATGAACCGTTTGTTCTATAATCCTTGAAAATGAACCGACTTTTAGTTTATTATAAGCTGCTATAAGAATTACACGTGAAAGGTTTGATATTCCCTGCCAAGGGACGACCGCAATTAACAAAATTAAATTTCCATAATTTGAATTTTGGTTGCACCAGAGCTCCAAGCTCGGCCTTCCTAATGGTAGTACGCAATACTAATCGCTCGGATTCTAAGCAGGGCGCGCTGCAACTCAGCAAAAAATCTAAGTCCCTTAACGCAACTTTCTCGTTCGTACAGAAGTTTTAAAACCTACCAACCAACTTCAAGACAGGTTGTGTCTAGGTCGATCGTATGGAAATAAGAAGGCAAGCAAAAGACTGTGTGCCTATTTGTTGTGACTGCTGGATTTTTATGGTGAGGGTTTTTAATGGACAGAGGCGCATCTTGTTGTGGTGGTTGAGGAAGTGGCATACCCTTTTATGCATTGGGTGTATGCATTAATTCGTGCGGTTTTCTAAGAGAGGGCTCTACTAGTGCTATTTCATCTGGGGCTATATTCATTTCAAAGGTACTGTCATTTCGCGTCGTTTTCAGTAGATGTCATTTGTTTTGGCCTGAACAACATTCATTTGAAAATGTGGAAATTTGTACCAGATAAAGTGTTTTTGCAGCGAGTTCTTTTACATTACTTTATCATGAAGAAAAGTAATACCGAAAGCCTTCGTATTTTAATGGACGTTTATGGTGACCACGCTTTAGCCGAACGATCGGCATGCCAGACGCAAGAAGAACTTGCAAAAGTATTAGGAGTTGATCAAGCAACCGTTTCAAGACGATTAAAATCATTAGTCATGCAGAAGCTTGGAAATCGGGTGCCTTACGAATTAAAGCCGAGAGACGTTGAACGTCGATTCTGCATGTAGGAAATGTTGCTTCAACGACACCAAAAGAAGTCATTTTTGCATCGGATTGGCACTGGCGATGAGAAATGGATTCATTATGATTACCCAAAGCGCAAGAGATCGTATGTGACGCCCGGCCAACCATCGACATTCCCGGCAAGGCCGAACATCCATGATGCTAAGGTTATGCTATGTATTTGGTGGGACCACAAGGGAGTGCTCTATTATGAGCTATTGAAATCGAGTTAGGGGCTCATGCGGTAAGGCATGCCTGTCGTAACAGGTGACTAAAATCCAATAGTTCCCGCGACAGTCGGGTCTTTATATCGGAACGACTCGGATTTTTATCCGGCCAAGGACTGTCACTCCCGCAACATTCCCCAAAGGGTATCAGAAATTGGCTCGATTCTTTCTTGACCTCCAAACCGGAGAAGTTCTTTGGGGATGGGATCCACAAACTGTCAGAAAGATGGGCAAACATCGTAGCTTCCGATGGCCAATACTTTGAATATTAAATGTATAAAAATTTTTTCACAATAAAGTCTTAATTTTCGAAAAAACCGCACGAATTAATGCATGCGCCCAAAAATTTTTGATATTTCGTTCAAGTATATATTTATGGGGGAACATTTATAACATTCAACAACAGATGTCGCTGCTGTTTTTCGTTCATATACGTAACTCTTCTAATTTAAGGGAAGAGTACAGATTACCCACTCTTACGCCATCCACTTTGTTGAGTGTGTTTTTATTTCAGTTTTTTCGCATTTACATACCTTAATTTCAATTATGATTTGAAAATGATTTTGAAACTCAGTTTTTCACCAGCCAAAGATAGTTTTACGCTTAGTTCCAGTTCCTCAGAACTTTGAGCGTTGGACCAAATATCCTCCATATTCCCTTGGTAGTCAACACGTTTCCGAGCTAGAAAAAGAAGGCCAACACTTTGAAAAAATTACAGAAGCCAAATTAATATTGAAAAACTGATATTTTATAACCATAAAAACCATAGAAAAGATTTACAGTTCCAAGTCGCCTCCCTGAAGGATTTTATAAGATTTTATTATTTAATCAATTAAACAGCAACATTCCGATGTGGCTCAGGACTGAGTATTTAACTCTTGGCTCTTTTTGCACATTGTCAGCCACTTAACTATAGAAATTGCTTATGATGATATATTTTGGCGACTTCTTAAAGGACTAATCGATCTATACAAAATATTTCTACTTTTTCTTAGACTTCTTATATAAGTTGATAATGGGCTCACGGAGTTCAATTTGGGTTGTCATGGATATGGTTTGTAAAAAGTTTGTCCAAACTCCGAAAAGGTTGGTGGCATCTCTCATACTAACTGAATTAAAAAAATTTGTAGAACGGTGTCAATCACTTTGTAGCTTGAGAACATTTACAAAAATTCTATAAAATTTTTACAATATGTTTATGTTTTTACGCGTCAATTGGTTCCACGAAAACCAGTGTAAAAAAACATGTATTGAACTTAAAATTTTGTTACTATTTCGTATTCTGAGTTCGTTGTCACCGTGTAAATTTTGTTACCAGCGAAATAGGAGGTAACAAAAATATCTGCTGTTTGATTTTGTGCTGTAAGTTTGATAGAAAATAAAAAACCAAAGACATATATTAGGCCTGGAATTCAATGAAGATGAAGAAAAATGTGCAAAAGCCGTATTTTAAGACGTTTTCGAGACTAAAAAATAGCCCTTTAATTTGTAAGAACACGCTTTCATTCAGCATTTTTTGTTGTCTAGGCATATTTTCCATAATTAGGTTCAAATATTTATGATTTAATAAACAAATTAATAAAACTTTTTAATTTTCTTGCGCAACGTCTTTCATTGCGATATGAATATTCTTCCTTTTTTACTTTATTAACTGGCAAATGTAATTTGACAGGGGCGAAAAAAGCAGTGCTGCCAAAGTTTTTTCAAACATTGTAACCAGTTCGCCAGAATACCAAATTCAATTTCGGGTGTTAAAGAAAAGTAATAAAATTTACTTTACCGGTAACAGCGAGAATAGGCCTGTTAAAGTCTTATAGTAAGCGTGTCTAGCACCACACTCAACCTAAATGGTTAAGCCGAGTTTTATGAAAGGTTTGCTTATGATGAAGTATGCCCAAAATGGTAGAGAGTTCTCACCTGTTTGAGGATTTTAATACACTTAGGGCCGTTTTTTCGAGTGTCTGTTAAAATTTAACTTCTCTTTAAACGAATTTTCGCTTTCTTGTCTATTTGTTTTACTATGAAGCTGTCAAATTTAACAGGTCGTCAGAACACTGGTTAAATATTTTTGTTTCGACAGCCAGAACTGTTCTCTTTACGAATAAAAAAACTGCTGATTTACAAATTCACTTATTTTCTTCTACAAAAATATGTGAATATAATGGAAGGGTTTGATCCTCACATTAACTTCGAGGCCCATAAAATTGAAAGGTTTAATAAAAAATATTGAGGATATCAAACTAAAAAAACTTTGCAGACTTACAGTTGAAAATGTTTTTAAAGGATGTCATCTTGAACAGTGTTGCAATTCTTATCCAAATGGCTCATCAACTTTGTCAGGACAACATGTTTTGGTTACTTTTCCCACATCTTGGAAGATTTTAATTTGAGACCAGATGGGGGGAGTGCACAATAGATCTTATCATTCTGGAATAGTTTGGTATTGTTAAAAAGAGATTTGAGACATACATATATTCCCCGAAGAAGTAGTAAAACTTTTCAATATTTTCTATATTTGCTTTGGTGCAGCAAAGCAGACTTGATAAGTGCTAGTTATGAAATATATGTGTGAGTTTTGGTAGTGTTCAACTTATCGAGGTCCCACTGAATGAAATCTACACACAAAGTCAACAACTGAAATGCTCAAGCTCGCTAGTTTACTGTTCTTAATGTGTATATTAGGGTATTCCACGTTTATACTAAGCCACCTCCGAACGGCTGACGATATTTTATGAAAAGCCTTTATCATCCTTTTTATATCCTGATCATGTCGTTGACATTCCCTGCCATTGAATAATTTCTAGGTTTAGGAAAAAAAAACAGTTTTTTTAGTTTATTGAATTTGAGTGTTTCAACACCTTCGAAACTGATAATCTCGAAATGCTGCCCAAATGCTGCTAAATTACTTGACTTTCCCTGCTGTTAACCAAACCAAAGGCTTTGGCTTAGGCTCACTCTTTAAACATATTTATAAAAAAGTTGTAAAAACTTATAATAGCCACCCTAATCTATATATGTGCGTATGTGTCATAATGTTTGTATTTGCCTTGATCTCGCAGGCAAGACGCGATTTTCTTATCAGCCCTGCGGTAAAGTGACAGCCCCGGCACATGGTATCAAAACACTACGTATATATAAATGTGTGTACGAGTATACTCGTATGCCTCTGCTGTCAAGTGTACATTTATTGAGACATCTTGTATTGTGTATGTGCGTTTGAGTATAATCATATGATACAAATGTACATAAAAGTGATAATGAAAGTGCATGAATGAAATGAATTTAATCACATAAATATGTAAAGCTGAAATGCATGCAATGTACATACATAGTACATAGTATATGCACATATATGTATGTATGTAAACATTCACATCTGAAGCGCATCTCTCTTTTGCTAAATGCGCCCCACGATAATTTCTTGCGCGTTCTATGAGATACATATTTACATACATACATACGTGTATGTTACGTTCATACTACGATACGTATGTATGTGCATATGGGAAAAGCGTCAACTCGCTGCACACTCTGCGAATGATCTCGGAGGCGTTAAAATTAAATTTAATTGCAGTGCAATGCGCAACGCCTGCACTCGCGAAATTTCAATTCGATCGTTAATCTTGCACATTCGATCAGTCAACAGAGCGACCGAGGAACCACAAGGCAATCCAAATGCCCGATTCATATTCAGTTGTGCTTCTCTTACGCTGCGTGTTGTTCGTCGACGGGTGTGCATCCCGAGTTCGAAAAGGGCGAAAGTAAACTGCAGTCTCGCATTGGCGTTGATAAAAGCAAAGATTAAGGATATTATTTGTGGTAGATTTGAGGTAAATGTTTAACTTGAATACATATGTACATATAACTGTATAACATAAAATATTATCAAATTCATTTATGGCGCACTGGGTCAGGACCTTCTCCAATTTTTTAACTCCGAATAGCACGACCTTACAATCGAATCGAAACCAGTATCCGAACCAGTAGCTACACCTTGCATCGCATTCAGCATCCGGCTTAGACGAAGATCTGAATAAAAGCTGGGGGATTTTTTATGTACATCGCCTTAAGAAAAAAATTGATGTCATTGCCTCAAAGACTGTATTTCCTTTTAATCACAGTGCGGCATAAAAACATTGTCGACATACAACTGATGCATTGCGGCGCTGAGCAGATAGCCTCAAATGTTACTGACTAGAGGTTTCACACGATCAAACGTATACATATTTATAACAGGACACCCAAGACGAACTGTTTCCACTTGTTCGTACAAGATGTTAATGAAGGTGTTGGCAGGCTCTATATGAATGGCGTTTAAGGTCTGTCGGTAGCTCATGTCGTTCAGAGGTAGTGTGATGCTGAATGGAGCTCGTGAAGTCAAGAGAGAGAGTCTTTTCCTCTAGCGACTTCCGGAAATTCATACGTCTCTGGACTGGCAATCGCGGTGGTAGATGGAGTGAAAGACTGTTGGCTATTGCACATAACTCCTAGTAACTCTGATGAGTCGGAAACTGATCACATCGACTTTTACATTCAGAAAAACTGCCTTTCTTCGTTTATGTTGGCATTACTTTGGGTTTTTCATAAACTACAACTTTATCGCAAATCATAGAAATTCTAGAAATTCTAAAGTATCTGCAATAGAGCCCGGCTAGGAGCACTTTTCATTGGAAAATTAAGTACATAGGGTGTTACACTTAGTAACTTAGAATCGAACCCTGCTTGGCCTGATAGCCGGTCCGCCATTCTTTATGCTGTGTAGCCTGAAATATAATCATTTTGCTTTAATTTATTTGATTTATTTGGACTTGGTGTAATAATAAATTTAATATATATATTTATGAATATCTTTTTTTTTTACCAGAAAAATGTCTAAGATTCTCTCGTTTATTGCTCTGCTCCCGCCGATTTTTAAAATACTCTTCCTGCTGCAGTACCTCAGTCTCATTAACGGTGAATATGTGTCGCACTATAATACAGCGGTGCTGCAGCACTGCTCAGCAATCGATGTTAAGGATAAAATTATGGAGCTCCAGTGCTATGCCAAATGCGCGGCCGACGGCGCGAGAACAGTGCCAGAGTTGGACTCACAAGTCTGCTATCAACAATGCCGTAAAACAATCCATCGTGAACCGCGGCGGGGTTTATGCCCCAGCAAGCAGGACTTCACAACGCAGGAAGTTTCACCCATCCAACGTCTTTCCTGCCTCGACAACTGTGTCTATGACGCGGATTGTCCGGTTGTTCAGAAATGTTGTGACATTGGTTGCGGGCCCGTCTGTGTGGATGCACTGGGCATTCGTGAAGATGCCTTGCTGCCGCCAATACCGAAAATTTTGAAATATAAATTGACACGCGGCAATAAGGTGGAGCTCACTATTGAATCATCAGCCAATTCCACTTACTACTGCCATGTGGAAGTGCGTTATCACTTTGGTGTGTCTTTTGCGGAGCGTAAGCTTAGTGCATGGCAATGCCAGTTGGTAGAAAAGATTGCCGAGATTTCTGTTGGTCATAGTAAAAGGTAAAAAACGAAATTTCTACATTTATATTTGCCACTCTCTCTCTCTCTCTATCTCTATCTCCACAAATGTATTTTCGTTACAGAATTGATATCTCCTTTAATCTGAAACCGGGTCATTGGTACCAAGCGCGCGTTGCAGCCATAAATGCTTATGGCTTCCGCGGATATTCCGAACCTTCTGCGGAGTTCCGCCTAATACATCGTGAGTGAATGATACACAAAAATCTGGGTTTATTTTTGATGAAAATTTTTTGTTTTCTTAGATCCCAAGCCACCGAAGTCTCCTGCAGATTTGCAAGTTGCCGCTGCCGCTTTTGATGGCCGTCATTATAAACTGAAAATAACTTGGTGTCCATCGAAATCGAACTTACCCATTGAAAAATATAAAATCATTTGGTCGCTTTATGTGAGAAATAAGGATGAATCGGTGATAACGAATGAAGCCTACGTGAAGGATGTAAGTATAAGCAAACGTAAGTCGTTATCTGCAATACAACTTTAAGATGTTCGTGTGAATGATGGACATTCGTAAATCTGCTTAACTCTACGCAATGTAGGATCTGCCAGTCGTGAATCCACATTGATAAATCAAGAATTTTTTTTTACTGGACTTAGGCTGACTTGTGAAGTGATCTCTTCATAAACTCGCTGTACCCTCAACACCTGGTGTGAAATCAGATTGCCTAATGGAAAATCCTTCGCTTGTTTTTTGATGAACAACTTGCTGGGCTCGATGGGCTTGCACCAAAGAGAGAGAGGCGTTAGAGGTACGGATTTTAGTGGACATGCAGTACAAACGTTATGTATGTCGGAGCTGATTCGGTATTTCATATTGATGTTCGGAATATACATTTACGGGAAGAGAGTTTAGGACCTGACGGTATTTTGTCCTTTCCAGCAATTCTGTTCTGTTGTGCTGAATATAGTTCTTTAAATCGAGAACTTCCTTACTCCCTTTTTTCTGCATCAAAGGCTGTATTTAGCGAATCTTGCGCTGGTATCTTCTTCGACCACGCTGACAGTAAGATTGTTAAGCACTGTTAGAATTTCTTTTCATTGGACAAATTATTCTCTCTTACGGTAGACTGAGAATATGCGGTAGGAATTAGATTCTTAGGCAAATTTATTCATTCCTGTGAGGATTTCAATCAGCAGCATTTCTCAACCTAACAAAGGTTGGTCTCCCTACTATACTTAGAAGCTGTCGGTTGCTTGTTGGCTTTGGAGGCCATAAACAGACTTCGTTACGGCTGACCTTTAGCATAAATCGCTATCAGGTGTATATCTAATCTTACTTATTTAAGGTGTTACATAGATATTGAAGGCCCAAAAAAAGCTTGTTTTCTCTCATTTTTTTTAAGAGATACTGAATAAACAATTTATTTTGTTTCAAAGTTCAATATGTATACAACATTTGATGAAAATTTGAAGGGTTGGCAGTGCCGTGAAGCAAACCGTCCACAAGAAAGTGCTTTCGCGTAGTCATGCTAAATTTTTTTAATTTTTATCTGAAATCAAAAGTCCCAATTTTTTCTTAAAGTAGGTGAGTTTTCCTTATCCCTGAACGAAGAAAAATTAACAAAATTAAAAATTGAATTTCTTGTAGCGTTTTTTACAAAAAACGTAATTTTTCGCATAAAATATTGGCCACTTATTGGCTTGTAAAATGAGTTGAAATCAAAGATAAATAAATCCCTCGTTCAGGACTACAAAAACATGCTTAAAAGAAGTGTAAAAAATTTGAACTCAGTTGCTTCAATAGTCGTTGAGAAATTTTGACTACCGATATCGGCAAAGGAGTTTTCAGAAAAACGCGTTTAAAGTTTTGCCATCGGTCAAGCCATGACAAAGACGGCGGGTTATAAAACTCTCTAGTATCTACAGTTTCGTCTCGATCGACTTGAAACTTGGCGAATATTGCTGACACTTTGTGCTTTTAGACAAGAAATGATCGAAAAAATGAATTTTTTGAAATTTAAAGACCTATGAAACCCCTTAATATGCATATGTAGATATGTTTTCAACATATTTTAATTATATTATGGAGGGTTCTTCATTTCGTGGTTTCAAAAGTGCACTGCTTTATTTTGGCATCTGTCAAAAAAACAAGTTTTGTTTTGGGATCGTTTGCAGATATAAGAGCTAAACATCATTCATAGTTTCTTTCGTTCGAATTCGCTACTGCAGCTGGAAGCGTAGCCATAAACCCGTATATTTCTATTCCCGTTATGGTATGATAACAGACTTTTTACTGCATGTAATTGAAGAACACGACTTGGACAATATGTGGTCTCAACAAGAAGGTGTCACATGCTACACAACATGAGCGAATGTGGCTTATTGTGTTATCTCTCGAATTATGCGAATAATCCTTTAATTCTTGAGAATATGAAAATCAGTATTCGCCAAGTTATGGCTGAGATCCCGCCAAAAAGCGGTCGAAAATACCTGAAACGGATTGAAGTTTGAAATGTGGATAACCCTGTATATCTAATAAATTCTTCCTTCTTCAACAGACTCACCAATTCGAAATCACAGATCTTCTACCAGAGTCCAGCTACTACATTCAAGTGCAATCCATGTCCATCAATGGCAGTCGTCGTTTAAAATCCGACAAGTGCTCGATACTTTTCAACACAACTCAACCAACCATGCCTTATAAGGCGCTCAAGTGCTCTCATCAAGTTCACGAGCATGGCCAACAACAAAATGTTGCTAACAATAGCTATAGTAATTATATCGCAAGATCCTTAGAAGCATCACAACAACCAACAACAGTGGCGCTAGCCAACAATGGTGGATATGAGGTGAATTATCGACTGAGTCGTAAATTTGGTATGATTGTTCAAATAACAGGATTCTTACCATATAAAGAGAAGTAAGTACATATACACATACACATATAATAGATGTATAAGTACTGAGAATACTGTTAAATTAATGTCCATATTAATTTAGGGTCTATGAGTTGTGCCCGAAAGAGAGTAACTGTGAGCAACGGGAATATAGCGCTATACGTGTGAAGGTGAGCATGCCGAGAGAGAGTCCTGCGTGGCTTCTCACACATAATACAAATACAATTTCCCGTTTTTTACGATTTAAATTTTCAGCACGATGCTATAGAAGTGAATACTCTGAAATTTGACACAACGTACGTGCTGAAAGCCTACAGAGCCAATTCTTATGGCGGCGAGCCAACAACAACATTGAATGGATCTTTCACATTCACTACGCCAAAATGTGAGAGCTTCCGCAGTCGATTTCCTAAAGTGGGATTGCAATGCTAAGCGAAATCTTTTATTTAGTATTGTTTTTTTATTTGTATCAAAATTTGTATGTATGTATGCATGTATCTGTAAGTAAGTTTTTGTAATTATCGTGCTCCAGCATATAATGTACATATGTATATGTAAGTACACCTAAGCCGAACAAGATATATTTAAAATTTTATTTTGTAATCTTTTTCAATATAAGCGGAACCGGAGATGTGAAAGCAACTTCTTCTGATCTTATGCACTGGTAAAGAACTAGCTATAGTTTCCGCGCCGCCATTGAAGAGGTGGACAATGAAATTCCTTAACTTCAATGTCACGACTCCAAAAACAAGAAAATAAAAAAGGAATTTCCTAGGATGGTGTTCTAAGTACCAAAGATTTTTTCTATACCCCTAAGCTTTTCACCAGCAGAGGGTGTCTTCTTTGATCGCACCTGATGCCTGATTTTGATGTATCGCCAGGAATTGAGGAATTGAAGTGTACCAACTCAACTTGATCTTCTATATCAATGAAGCTGAATTGCCGACTCCTAGTAAACTGAATTTAATGGAAATTACATTTGATAGTCTGTTTTCGTTCATTTGCTTATGATCAATGCCGGTTTCTTTAACCAGAGTATCTTCTATGTGGTGTGTCTCTGTCTTTAGTGACAGTCAAGCAACAATGAAGGCTCCACTAGGAAAACAGCACAATCGTTATGGAATGTGTCAGAACCGAAGACCTTATATCGCAGACTACAACTATAATAGACTAATAGTAAAGTTCATAGGGGTTCCATTAGAGGGGAAAAGATCCATAATAATACAACAATAAGCTTAGGGTCATTATGGGCCTATTTCAGTTCTCTACCTCTTACCTAACCTCGGTTAGGGTTACCTGAAAGAGCAGATTAAAATTAATTAATTCGCTTGACAATCGTGTCTTAATACAGGAAAGAATACGATTGTTTTTCGGTCACGTGCTGTAACATCCTAATACCAAAAGCGATTGGGAGGAATGTTTTTCGATTACAAAAACAACAATCTCATATTGTATCTTCAGGTTCGGATAGGGTAGCGTGCACTGCTAATTGATTGTTACATGTCTTCTTCTACACATTTTTCACCCTAAAGCAATCTCCTTTCTTAGTACCTACATTCTAGGAACCATTTCTTCTATTAACGTATCACGTCTTCTGTGATTCGACGAGCGAACAGACTTTCGCGTTATCAACTAATTACGAATGAAATTAACATGAAATTTTAGCAACTCTAAAGGTCTATCTGCATACATACATACATATATGTGTATGTATGTATGTATTTATGTATATACATATGTATGTATATAATATCGAATGAACAATATTAATAATAGGTAATTACTAATTAGTGACTCTTCTTCAGCGTATTCATTTTACAAATTTAATAAACGGAATAAACGTAAAATTTTCAAACTAATTGGTATAAATGGCATAAATCAACAGTGAAATCAACACGAGCAGCGAAATGCTGAAGTGGCAACAAATACAATAAATAATCTCGGCGCTCAGCTGCGATGGTGTATAGTTGCTGGCTGGCCGACCGGCCGACTTTTGCTTGTATCTAAATACATATGCATGTACATGCATGGGAATTTATGTATGTATGTTTGTGTATATACAAATATCTGTCAATGTGCCACATTAAATTTTCATGCTACACAAATGCCAACAAATATTAAATGAATTTCTTTGACTAAATGCTTTTGCGAATATGTTTGTTTGTATGTACTCGTACATATGTATCGATGGATGTGCTGCAGGCCGGTGGACAGAACATAAAACCACAGTGATAATTAATTAATCCGCTTGGCATGGCATTGTGGCGACGAATTACGTGTACATACATATGCTTGAATACTATATACATACAGTATATACAATATACATACATACGTATGCATGTACAAATAAATGTATTTATAAAATTGTCTAAATAAATTGTTAATCTAACATCGAACATGCAATTCCCAGTAGGAAAATAACTGTTGTGCAATAAAATATGTATTTGTGTGCTTGCAAATAAAATAATCTGAATATATGGAGTCCATAGGCTCCTACAAATCATGTGCTCATTATTAGAATCAGGGTAGTTGTAAATGTCCTACTTGATTTACTATAATTTTTCTCAACTCAGCGTAACTCGGTGTCCTCAAAGTTCAGCAGCAGTCGTGGATTATGCCTCTTCCCAAAATCCTTGCAATCGGTTTTTATCTGTTGGGTGGATCCTGATGTCGACACTCTCCTTGTTCATAGCTCTTATCGACCAAATTTGCGGGGAGAAAATAATGGAATTGCAGGAAAGATTTCCTTAAAGATATTCTTTAAGTTATAAAAAATTTATTTACAAAAAATTTACCTAAATTTTCTCGGCAGGGAATGTCAAACCCTCCGAGTGCATTTCTGATATGAAATATAGCTCCTCAAAAAAACCCTCAGCCGTTCTGATGCGACTTACAGGCCTATTCTGTCGAGGTAACAAAATTTGCTTAGATATTAAAATTTACCATTCAGAAAATTTTGTTACCATTTCGTATTCTGAGCTCACTGTTACCCTGTAAATTTTGTTACCAGCGATATAGAAGGTAACAAAAATATCTGCTGTTTGATTTTGTGTTGTAAGTTTGAGAAAAAATAAAGAAACCAAAATGGGTAGGCATATTTTAGGCCTGGAATTCAATGAAGATGAAGAAAAAAGTGCAAAAAGCCGTATTTTAAGACGTTTTCGATACTAAAAAATAGCCCTTTAATTTGTAAGAACACGCTTTCATTCAGCATTTGTTGTTGTCCAGGCATATTTTCCATAATTAGGTTCAAATATTTTTGATTTAATAAACAAATTATAAACTTTTTAATTTTTTGGTACACCATCTTCCATTTCGATGTGAGTATTCTTCTTTTTTACTTCACCAACTAGAATACCAAATTCAATTTCGGGTGTTAAAGAAAAGTAACAAAAGTTACTTTACCGGTAACAGTGACAAAAGGACTTTTAGTATAAAATGTAGGTTCCTCCATTTCTTGGAAAAATATCAAAACGCAAAACCACTAATTGGAGGAGGGACTCCGCCGAAAATCGCTTCAGCGATTACAAAGCGGGATTATTTTTTCAGTGAGTATTTGTCAGCTTATTTGAAAAATTTAATTTACTTTTCAATCTTTTACCCACTTGCCTATTCCTAGTCGTCAGTTTTTTCTCCGAAACGAAATGCTATTCACAATATTTAAACGGTAACAGATTATTTCAAGTGTTAATTTTGAAGAGAGCTTTAATATTATAACATATCATTGCAAGCTGCCGTTTTAAAAGTAACGCTAACGAAGAGTCTCAAAATTAACAGTTTAAAATGAAAAACAGCTAAGTCAAATTTCCATGGAATATTTATTCCGTAAACTACTTGCTCACACAATTCGTCATTTACATATAAAAAATAATGTACATATATACAAAAAATGAACATAACATAAATGAAGGAATGTACCAATATTCATTAATTCATTTTATATTGTCATTTATACATTCAAAAATTTAGTCGTAATTTTTCAACGTAATTTTTGTCTTCTTCGTGTGGACATTCACAATGAGTAAAAGCAGTGATGTATTTCATAGGAAGACTCCTACAAATCTAGCAAAGAGTTTGTGATATTTCCACCTTAGCAAACATTTCGTTTCGCGAACATGGCGCCGGAACGAAACAAAATCATTTCGTTGATATTGGTTCATACTAACAAAACGAAAGGGCATTGGTTCGTTAGTTGAACGGCTGATCAGATGGGTGATAACAATTTTTGGCAAATTTTACTCAACTGCGTTTGTTGAGAGAAAAATTAGCGCGAGAGTACTTAATTTTGACATTTCGTTCGCAGCTAATTCATACTGAAATTTCTCACTGAACAGACCTAATAACTCTGATTTTCCAATATTTTTTTTCTTTCACTTCGGCACTTTCTTTTTTTGTTCAACACTTTCATCCAGGTGTTCATGCTGCCAGTGTGCCAGCTCATATAACTAATTTGAGACAGTTCAAATAGGAAATACATATGTATGTATGCATGTAACTCGTCGACGCTTGAACTTCTAATTTTTAACACACTGCCATGTGGAGAATATTTCTCTGCCAGAAGAGTGTGCCAAAAATTAGCTTACTCTACTCATGTAGAAGCAGAGCACGTCCGACAGATGAGTGCTTCGGATGTCATTCATTTGTACTTTCTAACGAAAAGAGAAATTCGTATGTGCAGAATGGCATTTAAGGCATTTGAGGAGAGTTAGTTATTTACACACGTGAGCGTTGCTTGCGAATAGCGCACAAGGCGGCTCATTTGGTATATCAGACGCATGTTGACCTTCGTCGTATTAACACGACACGATGTCGTCAAAAGAGTCGTCATGCACATTGGAAAACTGTTCATTTACCGCACTGCGCAAGAAGCGTAAATAAATTGAATTTGCATAAAAAAAAACATTAAGATTTCATTTTCCATGACATACATATGCCTAGGAGTAGAAAACGACTGTGAGCAATTCGCAAAACTATTTCAATTGAAAAATTTACCCGAAATACCAATTTTACCCTTAATCCCTTAATATTTTCTGGCTAAAGAGAAATCTATGAAGAAAATCACGGGCTTATACTTATGCAAAGGAGTTTGTCGAACTCGTATATCGTGCGATTTTGAAATTCTTCATTCGTACGCTGATGGTGTCAAGCTCTTTAAATCAGTTCGTTCTACAGAAAATAGATAAATTTTGCAGCTTTTACTTTAACTTTAACTAACCTAGTTAGGTGGTGTGAAACGATCCGTCCTCAATTATATAGTGATAAATTGGAACCTTAAGATTAGACTGTGATGTGGATAAGAACTTCCCTTCTTACACTCTATAGTCGTTCAAAGATGTCTGAATTTTTATTTTTAACTAAATTGATAAGAGGTGTTATCGATAACCCATTCATGCTTAATGTTGGCTCGTCATCTAGACAATTAGACCCTTTTTGTTGTGTTCGTGCAGAACGAACTTTGAAATGCACATCTTTTTTAGATTTTTATGCAAAGATTTTAATCTCATCCCGCCAACATTGATTCCTCACGCTTTTCAGAAGAGGACTTTTGAGCGTTTAAAAGAATTAAGTGAATTTGTACGAATAAAAAAATTGTCACCGTAAATCATTTAAATTTGTAGACCAATATCATAAGCCCCCCT